TCGTCGTGAAGACTCGATAGTTTTCTTGTTAGTTACTATTATAAAGTTGTGTAAAAATATTTACCGAAGATTTGAGTAATGAGAAGTGCATTTAATTGATTTATTTTGTGTGCAACTTTCGAAATTTTTAGGCATGTTATGTGTGAGTGTGTAATTAAAGCGATTTCTTGTAGTATTCGAGTTATAAAACCATAAGTTCTATAGGAAGCAGTTTTACTTTAAAAATTTGATTTTCCTTCTATAACGTTCAATGAAGCTTTCATTGTTTCATTTATTTCAATCGTTGAAAAAAAAATTTATTTTTCGAAATCACTTATTAGTTGTAAACACTTTTCGTTAGCAAAAGATCATTAGAAAAAATCTCGTTTTCAAACTGAATCGATAACTTGAAAATTTGATTTTTAACAATGCCCTATTGTAATGCTACAAAGACGAAAAATAAGATCAACTTTCTTAATGAATGAAAGTTTTCTTCTGAATTTCAGGAAAGGTGCAAAAAAACTTTTTCAGTCAAACATCTTCTTAACACTTTTCAACCTTCAGTAAATATTTTGAACAAAATATTTTTGCATAACTTTTGCATCATACATTTATGTCACTTAAATTGAGAGTGTTGTTTTATTTTTCGATTGACGTTTCTTAAAATCTCGTCCATCTATTGACTTATAGATAGTATAACATACAAAAAATAATAATTCCTAAAGTACTAGTGGATTAGATTTAGATTTTTGAATAACTTACTGTAACAAGTCGACCTGGTTGAAGAAATGGTAATAAATATTTTGGTTCATTAATCATAATTGACATTTGATCTTGTACAAGTTCAAGTTTTTTTTTTAATTTATAATAACGTGCAACTTCTTCTTCATTTTCAATTTTAATTGATTCATATTGTTGTTCACAATTTTTTAATTCTATAAATAAATCTTATTAAAACAAAAAAAAAATACAAAATTCTTTACTTTCATAAAGTGCTGGTATAGTTGAAAAATGTTGAAATTGATAAAATGATCTTTCAAGCATAAATTCAGGATTAATACCTTCAACACGTAATAAATTTAATACCATATTATATGTTAATTTAAATGAACTATTTAATGCATCAGCTTTTCCCTAAAGATAATAAATTTTAAAATAAATCAAAAAAAAAAAAAAAAAAATTCTTTACATACTTTAACAATTTCTTTTGCTGTTGTTGGACTCATTCTTTCATCAATAATTAAAACAACAATTCCACGATCATCTTTTCCACGACGACCAGCTCGACCACTCATTTGAATATATTCACCAGATGTTATCTTAATTAAATAAAAATTTACAATAGTAGACAAAAGTTTTTTTGTTTTATGTTTTCTTCTATTTACCCATCGTAATTCTTTTCCATCAAATTTTCTTGCAGCTGTAAATAATACTGTACGAGCTGGCATATTTAAACCCATACTAAATGTTTCAGTTGCAAATAATGCTTTAATCAGACCTTCACCAAAAAGTATTTCAATTGTTTCTTTAATTATTGGTAATAAACCTGAATGATGTATTCCGACGCCTTTTTTTAATAATGGTAAAACTGTATTGATTTGTGGTAATTTTTTATCTTCATCCGATAATAAATCAATTGCATTAGTAAAAACTTCTTCAACAAGTCGTTTTTCATCATCTATTAAATTATAAAATTTTATAATAATGTACGGAAAACTTTTTTTTTGTTTTTTTTTTCAACAAACCAGAATTAAAATCAAGTTTAGCTATAGCACATGCATAAGATTCACAATCTTTTTTACTAAAACTAAAAACAATAACTGGAGCTAAATTTCGTTCCATGATCATTTTAACAATTTTAAAAACATTTGTTTCAGCTGAATACAAGAGAAAAAAACAACAACAAATATTTATTGAATTTATTTGAAAACAATATTATTACCTTTAAAACCACCTCGTCGTCCACGTTTATCACCTTTTGCTGCATCACCAACATCACGTAATGTTGCCATAGCTGCACTAAAATTATCTTCACGAAATTTTCCCTGACGAAACACAAAATTAAAGATGTAAAAAAAAACAAACAATCGAAATAAAAACTACTGTTTCATCAACGACTAAATGAAGACCATCAGCACCAGCTGGATAGATATAATGATGTAGAGGAACTGGTCGAACATCAGTATAAACAACATGACAAGGCTAAAAGAAAAAAAATACAAAAGACAGATTTATTATTTGTATATTGAATTTTGTTTTGTTTTGTTTTGTTTTTGTTTATTTCTACTTCTTCGATTTTCATTTTTTTATATTGATAATATTCAGTTAAAATATTTTTCTTACTTGATTATGAAGATATGAAATCCATTCTGCAAATTGTTTTGCATTTGGAATAGTTGCTGACAAAAATACATAATGAACATTATCAGGTAATAAAATAATTGTTTCTTCCCATATAACACCACGTTCTTATAAAAATCAATAAAAATAACATTTTTTTTAAACATCTTTATTTTTTCTTCTATACCTTTATCACGAAGATAATGAATTTCATCAAAAATAACCCAAGCTACTTCTCGAGTTATTTCTGAACCACGATAAAGCATTGATCGAAGAATCTAAAACAAAAAATAAAAGAATTTCTTTTTTTATTTTTGGTGTTTTACTTCAGTTGTCATAATAAGACATGATGCTGATGGATTTAATGTAACATCACCAGTCATAAGACCAACATCTTTAAATTCTTCATGTAATTCACGATATTTTTGATTACTTAATGCTTTTATAGGTGTTGTATATATAACACGTTGTTTATCACGTAATGCCATTGCAACAGCATATCTAATTTTAAAATAGAAATTAATCAAAAAAATAGAAAATCAAATAATCATTTTCAAGAAACGGATCATAGATTATTCCTCGACTCTAACAACATCATGATTTTCCTCTCATAGCTATTTTCGATGAAAGGATCAAAACCCATCATGAATTGTTATTTAGTAACGATAATCTTCCAATTCTAATTCCAAGAAAAAAAAAAGAACGATAGAAACATATTTTGATACATACTCAGCTACAACTGTTTTACCAGCTGATGTATGAGCTGAAACAAGTACAGATTGATTATTTTGTAAACATGATATAGCTTCACGTTGAAATGGATCAAGATTAAATTTATATTCTTTAGCTGGTGGACCAACTAAAGCTTTCAATGGAGCATATTCAAAATTTGGTGGTAGAGCAACCTGATAAAAGAAAATTAAATGTTGAAATAATAGATTAAATTAAAAAAAAATTATATAAAACAAACTTCATGTAAACATGATTCAATTGTTTCAACAGTATGAGTTTTCATTCGTGGAACATTATCAAAAAAACTAAAATTATATTGAAATAAATATTAATTCAATTGAAAAATTTTTTGTTTTAAATTACCTGCCAGTTCCAGTTTCCATTGATTGATTAGTTCGAGTACGTTTAGAATTAAAATCTGATTGATCATCATCATCTTCATCTTCTTCTAACGAACGTTTATCTTTCGATGTTGTATTTGTATGATTATCATTTCTTAAAATAAAAACATTATTTAAGTTAGTATATCTTTGCTTATTTCTTGTCGATTTTTATCATTTTAGTGTTCACAAAACAAAGAAGCCAAATTCGAAACTTCAAGTCAACAAATTTTCAGTCGACATCAAAATTCCAACTCTCAAATATTGACTTAACACTTTCCACTATAGGATGAATTATCTCGAAGCACATACTAAATGCTTTGATGATGATCAAGAAAAGTTACCTACTAATTCGGAACCAAAATTCTGGCTATACTAGAAAGTTTCCATTTGAAAATTTCATGCTGACTTCTGTACGACTGATTCTCAGACACTCGTCACGATGAGTATGCATGAGATAATGTTCTAATTGCATAAATATTTGCTTGTTAATCTCGTGCAGCTTAAAAAAGAAACTTAGGTTTTAATAACTACGAATAAAAAAAAAAAGTAGCCTATTTCAATATCAAACTTTGTATCTCATTTAGATCGGCAATAGTAGCTGACGAATGGAAAAATTAAGATAATGATTTCAAATAGAATAACTAGCTAACATAGAGCAGAGATATTGTTATGCTTAAAAAATTTTCCTTTGCTTCTTATTATTAGAACGTGTAGTATGTAACAGACTAAATAAACAATGTTAACACTAAAAATTCCACGAGTTATACAAATTTCATTGAATCTCTTTGTGAAAACTTTTTCTCAAAAAGACAAAAAAAAATTGTTTAATTGATCTACGAAAGAGATCGATTCCAAGTTTACTTAAAAAATAATCAAAAAGTATAAATACATTATTATTTTCATGTTGAATAATCTATATTTTACTCGTTAAAATAAGATATTCATATTTTTCACATATTATGATTGTCAAACTTCAAATAGAAACACATAAAATTTTGATTCTCAAAATTTCTATGACAATAGTTTACAGTTAAACTATTACTATATATTTTATCCCTTGATAAAGAAATATCATTATTTTCTAAATGATAAAATATTTCTATAATTCTTTTTGCCTTACATTATTGTTGTAGTTGGTTGTTGGACACTTAATGTATTTTCTAATAATTCAATAATAGCACTAGGTTCGTCTTGTTCAAAGACGTCAAAAAGTGCATCGCTACTCATCTATATTATTCTAAAACGAAAAAAGAAAAATAAAATTATCCGTATCACTTCTTGTAACATGACACTTCTACCGATTGACGAAAATCTTCTACAATAATTGGTAGGATACATCAAAGAGTGCGGGCATCCTCGATTTGTAAAGAGAAAATGTTCTGAATTTTAGTTAGTTAGCATTGATTACCTTACGAAATTTGTCCTATTATTTTAATTGGTTTATAAATCTACCAATCGAATATAAGTTTATCATTGCTCAGCAACCATCAACATATGAACGTTTGGAATGGTTTCATTGAATATTCTTTTTTTAAAATATAAAAATCATTTTCTAGTAAAAGAAAAATGACGGCTGGCTCAATATCAGCTCCCTCTATTATTCCATTGCGTTCTGTTCAATATGGACAAACACAAAAATTTACAATTAATACAAATACGTTAATTGAAATCTCAAGTGAAACAAAAGATGTGGATATTTATTATACATTAGATGGTTCAAAACCAGATCCATTTACAACATTAGCTACACGACGTTCAACTATACAATATAAAAAAGCATTTTATATTCCAAAACATATTGCTACATCAGGAAAAGTAACAATTAAAGCAATAGCTGTATCAAAGTAAAACAAACTTCTTTGTTTTTTTTCTGTTTGAAGAACAAAATAAAATAATTTTGTGTTTGTATTTATTTAGAGACGGTATTCGTGAAAGTGTTATTGTAACAAAAACATTTGATGTACAAATTGTTGAATCAGTTCATTCACCAACAGATGAACATGAAAATAGATTTGTTTATGAATTACAACAAGAACGAAAGGTAAAATTTTATAAATTAGTAAATAACACCTCCTTTTTTGTTTATCATGAAAAATTTGTTTCATTAAAAAGAAGACATGAATTTAATTTCTAATCAACTTTTATAAGCATGATAGATTTTTGTATAATATCAACTCATTTTATCCGATATAACAGATATATATTACATCTTTGAAACAAAAAAAAGTAAATATCATTATTATCTAATCATATAAAATTTGTAACATTTAATAATATATCAATGATTAGAAAGTTGAGATGAAATATGAACTTCAATGATTTAACGCTTCACAACTACGAGGTTTTTGTAAAAGATAACAAAAAAAAAATTATTGACTTGTTCATAAAGGCCGGAAATCGGATATATATATCAAAAAAAAACAAAAGATTTCATTACGCTTTAATCAACTCCCATGCAATTCAGTATTTGTAGAGTTGCTCAAAGCTTTGTAAGATATTTCCTGTAGCTCCATGAATAGCCCAATGATTCTTTATTATAATAAAAATCCAATAAAAATTACACATCCGGTATTCTGTACGATTAAAAATTCTTTAATAATCGCAATTTTCTAGGATTCTAACTCAATTATACAAATTTCTGTTTCGTTTTACAGGATTTTAAGTAAAAGAGAGTCTATGAATTGTCATAAACTTTTAAATCTATAATTCATTCTTTTTCATTTGATATACATCTACAATGATATCATATAATGATGCTATGATACTAGAAACATAAAGAAAAGAGAGAAGATTATAAAAGTTATTATCAGCATAACAGCTCAGTGTGTAAATATATGGATGACGTAACAAGAAAGTAAAACATTGTTTGCTCAAGCATTTGATCATTAGCTAATACACTATTCTATCTCTTTTTAAAGAATGTAGGACTCAAGCTATTTAAGTCTATTAATAACAAAAAAAAACAAAGGCATGAAATAAAAGAGATGTATTTTCTATGTTTATCATTTGAACATTTTTCTTCAACGATTTGATTCGAAGAGAAATGTATAAGTCAAAGAAAAAAAATGCAAAAATATGTGTCTATTTTATTTATTAAAACAAAATTTTTAATGCATTAATTAGACCTATTGATATAAAAATACTTTTTAATCGAAATAAACTAATTATAAAATGAAACAACAAAAGAAACAATCAATCATCTGCGAACAAAAGAATTGAAATAAAAATCGTATAAATCTTTTCTTTTCTCATATTTCACATTAGAAACATAATTTTTAATGAGATATATGCATGGAAAGATTGTGTGAGTTCTAATCTTTCATAAACGATATGATTTTTTTTTCTTTTTTTGCATCTCGTTTTTTTCTCCAAAAATTTTAGATAATTTCCGTCATCTTCTCTGTTTATACTTTTTTGATCACACGTTCTAGAATGCTCTGTAAACTTTCATTCTATATATTTAGTTATTTGTTTTATTCGAAAGAGCATGTTAAGATGCAAACCTTGTCACTATTATATATTTTATAATTAGAGCGCCATCTTTTGGAGACATTGAACTTTTTCTTCTCTTAGAAAGCAAGACTCTGTCATGCCCTGCATCCCGACATACTTTTTCAAACGAAAAAAAAAACATTAAGTATATAGAATGAAAGCCCACATAGAAGTTCGGGTCGCCAGATGAGTTAGTTTTGGCCTTTGTTTGTTGAATATCTTCCGAAAATGTCATGCTATAGGGATAAAAATTTTACCATAGCCTCAATATATATCCTGAAATTTTCATGAATTTTGAGTGGGAACTAGAGCGCTTATATCTTATTTGTAGAATGCTAAAAATATAAAATTCATTTATTAATAGGAATTAATAAAAAAAATTCAAGATGAAAATCAACAAATGCAACAAAAATTATCAGGTAATCAAAAAAATAAAAATTTCTTTCAATTTTTCTCATTAAAATTTTTCAATTAGAATCAATGCATCGTTCAACAAATGAACCATTTGTACAAGAAAAACCACCTCGTTATACACATCCCGATCCTCAAGCACAAGCAGGTCGTCTTCAAAAAGAAATTGATTTTCTTCGGTTTGCCTATAAAAGAATTTCAATCAATTTTATTTAATTTCTTATATTCAGATGTGCTCATTGTTTTGCACCAAGAACGGGTGATTTACATGCACGATTTTGTAGTGAATGTGGTCTTCCATGGCAAAATCTTACACAAACTCATCTTCGATTAAATCAATCAGATGCTCATTCAGTAAAATGCATATTAAAAATTCAATTTAATATATAGTTTTATTTTTCTTTAGCTTGGTACATGTGCTAATTGTAAATCAACAGTTCCATTTAATTCTGATATATGTGTTGTTTGTGAAACACCACTTTCACCTGAATATCAACATCGTGTTAATGTTCAAAATCAGGTTCGAATTTTTTTTCGAAAAAAAAGATTTTTTTATTTAATTTAAAAATAAATTTTTTCTAAGACAAAAATTTTATGTCCACAATGTAAAGCATCAAATCCAATAAATTTACGTACATGTATTATATGTGAAAGTAAATTAATGCCAAATACATCACCTGTAAATTTCTTTCTTGATTGTTTTTGAATTATTTTTTTTTTGTTCTTTTATTTTCATAGCAAGTTCAAGCAACAGTTTCTGTACCATTAGCACCTAAACCAACAGGTACAATGATGACATGTTCAAAATGTTTTCGTTTAAATAATGCTGATGCACGTTTTTGTGATTGGTGTGGTGCACAACCAGAAAAATCTTCTATGCCAATACAATGTACAAAATGTCGTTCAGAAAATGATCCATATGCAAAATTTTGTTTAACATGTGGTTGTATTATTGAACCACCATTACGTGTTATTGATGCACGTCTTAGAAATGATTTAAATATTTCAGCATCATCAGTAGTTGCTGGTGTAAGTCAAAAAAAACAAAAAAGTTTTGTTTTTTTGATTTGATAAAGAAAAGAGGTTTTTTTATTTTTCTAACAGACTTTAACACGTCCTACAACTGGTACAAAATGGTTGAATGCTAATGCAACATTTAGTAATTATCGTCAACCTTATTTAATAACAAAAAGTGAAATTGCAACACAAACACATGGAATTTATTATCCAAGTGCAAAAGAAATTGATATTTTAGTTGCACAAAATAAACAATTACAAGCTGATAGAGAATTTAAAGAACGTCGACCAATATTAACAGCTGTTAGTCCTGGAAAAGGATATTGGAGACAACAAATGGATCACATTTGTGCACATTTAAAAGCATATGCTGTTAATCGACCTGATTTTCGATCACTAATTGGTAATAGATTAAAATTTAGATATATAGGTTTTTTAAGATCTTTTAAAAATAGCGAATGTTAATAAAAAAAATTGAAGAATTGTTAAGTTCGATTATTTACTACTTGTTAAAATGATAAATATATAAAACGTGATGAGTAGACTTGTGCTGAAGGAAATAATGATATAATCTGTGGCGCGAAAGTCTTGGCACAAAATATTGACTCGTGTTTCGGCGACTAAAAGACAATTGATTAAAATTAGAAACCGTTAATTAGAATTAAACGTTTTCGCTCTTTCCGAAGATGTGTTTAGAATTTTCTGCTGAGATAAAATTGAACATGCGTTTCTACTAAAAAGCTAATTTCTGTAGAAATTGTCAATCGTTGTTTTAAAAACTACTTTTAAAAATATAAAAGTTTTAAAATGTGTGTTGCAAAAGTAGATAACACGCTCGATAGAGCAAACTTTGCTCTACAAAACTACCCAACAAATCTCTCCAGGTGTCTAATCGCAGTTTGATTTTCTGAGTCTTCGTTCTCGAGATATCGAAATTTTACTGGATTTTTCGTTCTTCTCAGGTCATGTGGAAAATTGACTTTCAAATTTCGAACTCAAACTTTGCATGAATAATATTCTCAATGAGATTAGTTCATTGAATAAGTTGTTAACTTTTCTAATATCTTCTATTTTGAGATATTCAATATTCGAAATTTTCATCAAGAACTTTATTCGTGCAAAGTTGAAAGTCGAAATTCGAAAATCAATTTTCCATATAACCTGAGGGACAAAGACTCAATAAAATTTCGATATATCAAGAAAATCAAACCATTTCGTCTCGGTCGAAAAGCAATTTGACACCTGGAGAGGTTTCCTTCTGAGCCATTAAAAATTGATTTGCATTTTTGGCTTTGATCGATTTCAATCGAAATATAAAATTGACTTATATAGTATTCTATACAATCACTTTTTTGCACCTTTTGAAACAATGCTATAGCAGCTGTCTTCAAGTGGTGGAAAAATGAGTGAATATTTGATGTCACAACTTTCGTACTATGTAGGTTAAATTACTACTTAAATTAAACTTTAAAGGATATAGAGAATTTTTATTGTAAGACGTCAATATTTATGCCAATGAAATTGTCCATACTTGTCTATAAGTTATTTAATATTAAATAAAGATAAATTTATTACTTTATTCTCTTCAAAATTGAACAATTATGAGTTGAAGATCAAGATTAAAAATCAAATCATGACTTCTCCCTGGATTTTTCAAAATAATTGAAAGGGTCAAATTCGTTATAAAAAAACAAAAGAACTTGAACTATAATGATTATTAATTCTTACAAATAATAAATTTCTTATGTTTGGTTTTTTTTTTTATAAATCTATACAGGTGAACCTCGTATGAGTAAAATGATTCATGCAACAGTACATGAAAATGAATATCAAGTAACAATTCAAGCTGTATTTCGTAAACCAGAAAATCTTTCACAATCAGCTTTTTATATTGATGAAACACATGGACAATATGCAATGAATAGTGAACGAAGTTCAACATTTTCTAGTACATTTAATTCCGATGGTAAATATTTACATTTCATAATATTAATTTCTTATTTCTTATTATTTTTGTATTATATAGATGAATATACTAGAGAAAAAACTCAATTGAAAAAAACTAGAAAACGTCCTAGAAAACGACCACAATCAGCTAGTGCTACTGGCCATGATAGTGTAAGATTAGATATTATAGTTTTTATATATATTGAAGTGTGATTATTTTTTCTATTTATTAATATTTCTAGCAACCAAATCGTGCCTTACTTAAATTACTTGAAAGAAAAATTGGTGATGATACTAAAAAATCATCAATTCATATTGATATATTACAAGAAGTAAAACAATTAATAAAAGAAGGTGCTGATGGTAATTTACGTAATAAAGAAGGTTTTACTGTTCTTCAATTGGCTGTACGTAATCGTCATAATGAATGTTTAGAAACACTTATTAAAGATGGTAAAGCTAAATTAGATCTAAGAGGACCGTAAGTAATAAGATTTCAATCAATTTTATTGTTAATAACAAATAGTGCAAAAGTTCTTTATTAATTTTCTTTTCAATATAATGTGATGATAACTCGTTATGAAGACTGAATAGTTTTCTTATTAGTTTCTACTATAAAGTTGTGTAAAAATATTTCGTTTAGAATATTTTTTAATTAGAAGTACATTTGAGTGATTTGTTTTTGCGTTCGACTTTCGAAGTTTTGTAGACATGTTATGTGTGGGTGTAATCAATGCGATTTCTAGTAGTGTCAAAATATTCGTTTTTCTTGTTTTATAGAATGTGTATTACTAGGAGGCTGATTAAACTCTAATTAGATATAAAACATGAGGTTTTTGTTAATTTTAATCGTTGGAAAAAAGTCTTATTTTTCGAAATGACTTAGTAATTATGAACACTATTCGCTAGCAAAAGGTTATTAGCAAAATATTGATTTCAAACTTAACCGATAATTTGATAATTTTATTTTTATCAATGCGCTATCATAGCGCTACATAAACGAAAAAAAAACGATCAACTTATTTAATGGATGGAGGTTTTCTTCTAGATTCCATACGCGTGCAAAGAACGTTTTCGATGTGTTGTAGAAAAGCTAAAAGAAAAAATACCGAAAATCACAACTAATAAGACATTATTTTTGGCATAATACTAAAATAATAATATAGATCATACACAAGTCAAAATATTTTTAAAAAAAGCGAAAAGAATGGTAGTATCATTTTCTTCCGTTTAGCACCCGTAAGCAAAAAATCATCTAAATATTTCATTACATTTATAAGACTATCGCTCACTAAGATTATCTATACGACATTGAATAGCAATTGTTGTTCTCTTGCATCAATAATAAACTATAAAGGATTAGAATCAGCATTTTATCGGCAACATAATCTTTTGAACAAATTATTTTTATACAGTTTTTTTGTACTAGAAATTTTATTCTTTCTAACAAGACAACTATTAAGTCTTCACGATGAGTACTGAAAATAAAATTTAGTGCAAAAATTTTGCACAATCCGTTATAGGATCGATTACAATTAATTGTAGAATGATGTTGTGCAAGAAATTGAATATCATTGTAAAGAATCAACGAGTAAATTCTCAAGGCTTAATTGAATAGTAATAAAAAACTTTCTTCTCAAGTTCAAAATATCGTATTGACATTCTATCGAATTTCTTGACGAGGTTCTTTTTGTTTTTTTTTTTGAACATAGCAAATCTTTGTTTGATGTTTGTCTTTTTTTTTAGAAAAGGTAATACAGCTTTACATGAATGTTGTTTTTTTGGATACGATGGTATTGAACCATTAAAAATTCTTTTAAAGTAAGTAAAAGAAAAAAATCAAAAACAAAACGAAATATTTTCTTTTGAAGAAATGGTGGTGAATTAACATGGATGAATGATAGAAAAGAAAGTGTTATTGATGTTGCAACAAAACAAAATTGTCCAGAATTAATGCAAATTATTGCATCACATTGTGGTCAACAAATGATTGATCGACAAATGAAAATCTATAATAATCATCATAATCATCCTTATGATAGTCATGCACGAACAACAACTGTCGATGGTCATCGTTCATCATAGAAGAAAATAAATTTTAAAAAAAATACTTATATGATTTTATTCTTTTTTTGGTTTTCTATTTCATAGGATAACATTTCTTATTTGTCATTGTAGTTTTCGTATATTGTGTATGTTTTACAATGGGCAAAATAAAACATAAAAATATGTTGTTCGTTATGTTTTTATCTTCTTCTTATTCTAACAATTTGAGTGTGTGTGTGTGTGCGTGTTTTCACTGTTGAATATTGTGTGCTTTGCATATTGTTTTAATTGTTAACATTAAAAAAAAAAGATATTCACGATATTATAATTGGCTATCACATATTGACAAACATCAAATAAACAAAACTATGTACAATACTTCAGATAACAAAAATATGTTTAGCTATCGATTATTGGTAATGATTCAAGGCAAAAAAATAATAAATGAACAAATTCAATGATTTCAATAACAAGATATTTATTGAATAATGTAAGATATTATAATGATATTTTAATATTAGATTAAAAAAAAAGAAGATATAAAGAAAAATCTTTGAAAGAGTATTGATTCTTCTATGTGGATAGTATTGTTAATATTTAAAAGAAAGATTCTAAAATTAAAGTTAGTTTTTTTTTTTATTTGAATGGAAAATTAAAATCACCTATGCAGTTCAAAATGTTTGCATAGGAATAACAAAGTCAATTACCAGAATTGGATAAGTTTTTCTCAAATAATTAATAAATGATGAATTTCATTCTTAATTTTGTGAAAGACAAAATATAATGAGAATTTTTGTTTCAAATGAAAAATTTCTATTTACTTCTCCTTATCAACACTGTCCGCCTTCTATACTAGGCATACATTCAAACTAGTGTCTGGGATGACCAATTTTTTTCTAACACAATAGCGTTCAAAGTCAGCCAAAACTGAGTAGGCATAATGTGTAAAAATCTTACTACATAGCAAACATTAATACAAGCTTCTAAAATATTCTATCTTGTCTTGCAGCTCTATGTAGCGGAAGCGTTTTCGTATTCAACTAAGAAAAGGTTTTGAATCATTTCCGTCATCATAGATGACCACGCTCGTGGCAGCAATTAACCAAAACGATGACTATCGAATTTCATTAGAAACCTGAACTTGTGGTGAGTTTTCTAGAAATAGACAAACCGATTTTGTCGTTGAAGGCAACAGAGACTTCAGTCACATATGAACGCTTTAGATATCGTATAATCACTAATTATCGACAAGGATGATAAAGCTCACGTATTTACTTGAAAAATTCAAAGAATGATTCTGAATTAGGTTGTCGAAAAAACTCCAGATATTTTAAATCATCTCGGCTTATCGTAGAAATAAATCAAGCTTTTTTGGTAATTTCAATCACTATTTCATTGATAAGAAATAGTTCCGTTACATAAAATCTTCAGAAAATAGACCTCTGATAGTATACTCAGTATGAGAGAATAACGTAGTCTAAATCTCTACAAAATCGGTGCAAGATACAGTCCTAATATCCTCTAATTCGAAAAAAATTCACCACAAATATCTTCCAAAATAAGAGAAAGCTACCGTCAAAATTTTTAAAAGCAGGAGAGAGTACTCCTGAAGAAGAAAAACTACATTCTTAATTAATTCCATTTGGTTCAATGGAATAATAACATATATGTGTATTTTCATTTAACTGTATTTGTAACAAAATATGTACTTTTATTATATTTTGTACTTGTTATGATGTTAGTTTAGTAGGAAAAATTAGAATTCAGGAAAATTTTAATTTTTCATGAAATACATTTTCTCCTGTAACATTTATGTCTAGTTGTTTTGATTCAAAAAAAACCATGAACAAATTATCGTAATAAGTTAAGACTATGGAATTATTTGTGTTGTGGAAAAAACCAAATTCAGTCGAAACAGAGACAGGATATGTGACTATTTTAGTATACTTGGCCATCCATGACGAAATTTGAGTGGCGTTCACAACGGGCACTAATCCAAATCTAATAATAGAATTTGAACATTTTCAAACGTATCTAATTCATTATGAACTATATCAACAAACTGATGACACGATAAATGAGCTCCTAACATTTGAGCTTTGATGGATTTTCTTGTGCTGAATTTTGACCAAAGACGGATGAATTATTGTATCAAGGAAAATACATAAGGAATTAACTGTACTTTATATAGCCCGATATCAACTTTCAGAAGGTTGTGAGTGTAAGTCAAGAAAAGACAAACGATTATACTCACACTCAAAACTAAAAAGACGTGTTAAATATGAACTTCTTGATGAAAAATTACAACAACTACTTTCGGTTTTTTTTGTTTGATAACAAAATACTTGTACTTCAAACGAGCAAGAGCTATGTTCAATTTTTGATGTGAATTTATTCAGATAAAATTATTTTCTTGTATTCTTCTATCACTTATTTATATCAAACTCAACTGTTAAGAACTCATCTGTCCATGTATCCAGTAAACTATCGCACTAAAAATACAGAAGAATGTCTGTCCTTGATAACCAAACGGAGAATAATCCAATGAATTGTTTGATTTAATAAGAGATTGGAAGGAAACTGAAAGACAATTTTGGAATTTTTTGATTGACTCTAAGACATAGTCTAATAACATTATCGGAATCTCTCTTTTGACATTGTCTAGTATTATTTCCCCTACTTCATTTTTTCTACTAACGAAAAAATGTTGTGTTACGTGGCTCAGTAGATTCGAGAGCATTTTTCTTCATTTAGGCAAAAACAATTCAAACGGTTTAGGTGCATGCCTATTCATAGCTAGCCATTTTACTAATTTTCCTGGCTAATATATTGTATGAAAACATTTTTTTTTTCAAAAGAAACCATAAGTTTCTTCCTGTTAGCATTAGAAAGATTGAATATCAACAAATATTCACGTGTTGAGTTGCCAGTATACTATACCCACCCTCAACATCGATTCTAATGAAGTTATATGTTTTACAATATGGACCAGTTAGATAAGTTTCAAAATAATCTTCATACTATTATGTATTATGATTAAAGTTTTAACATGTATCATATATCTTAATTAATAATAACATTATGAATTTCAGTCAAATATGAGCACATTGTATTTTTTTTTTGTGGTATCAAATGCTTTGAAAAGAGTACATTAACGAAACCTCTATAAAATATTCACTTTCATATCAAAATGAAACTTTTTGATCATGCCTATTCCATTAAATCAATCAATCTATCAAATATCCAGTTATTATAGAAACCTTATGTAAAGTTAAACATAATTTTAATAAAACAAAAGAAAAAGAGACCTACCATTTCCTTTTCAATAAATAACAAACATACTATTTATTCTATATTCATAAATAAAAAAAATGAATCAAAATCTCATCAATATTGGCTTTTAAAATACATAGCAATCATGTTCGAATGTTTTTCTTTTAATTAAAGGCTTCGACGTATAAAAAATCTTTGCTTTTTCTTATCCTATTATATATGATAAGAAGAATGAAAACAATTTTATCTCGTATTATGCCATATGAAAAAACAATGATAATGTAAGAAACAAAATACATAAATATGACATATCGTCAATCTTGCATGATAAATTTTTTAGTCTTCTATTACACAATATTTATCTATAGTTTTTATTAGCATATGTATTAGATAGTCAAAAAGTAGTACATGTAGATTTATTCTGTCAATAGAGAATTTATTTTCATGAAATAGATTTAATTCTATTTATGATTTTAGATCGAGATTTTTAATTAAATATGGCTTCTTCATCATCACCTTCACCAGTTTTTACCAGAGTTTTAACAGGCCAAGATGATTCAGCACCTTCACCAATTTTTACCAGAGCTTTAATAAGCCAAGATGATTCAGCACCTTCACCAATTCAAAGAAAACGTCAAGAATACCAAAATCCAACTGCAAGACCTATTTCTCATTCATCAGACCATGACAACGATGATGATAATAATAGTAAGAATGATGATGTAATTGAAACATTAGATGAACATCCATTATCGTCTGCCTTGCATGAAGTGAATGGTTTGTATTGTCTTCTTATAATTAATATTTATTAATCTATCTAAATTAGATGCTCTTATGGGCGTACTTAAATCACATATTGATTTGATAGGTTTGTTTAGAAAATGTTAAATTACGTTTTGCTTTTACGTTATAAACAAAATTTAAACGATGATTTGAAAGATTCTTGAAAAGAAATATTCAATAGTTTTTTTTTTGCTGTTTCGAGAACAATAAATAAATCAAACAAAGTAAGATTTTCGAAAATTTATTATTGTAACAAATTAAAATTTCAAATTCACCATTCAAAATACTATTAAAACATTTGAAATAGATGATGACAAAATTTTTTAAACATAGATTCAAACTAATTACTGTTAAGTTTTTCAAATCATATTTTAACAGAAAGAATGTTTAAAGATATATTACAAGAACTTTTTTGTTCTATCCTTGAAATAAGTACATTCTTTTTATTGTTCTTGTTATAAATCATTCATCAAAAGATTCAATTCTAACATTGTCAAACAAAATGCTTTGAGAGTTGAGAAAAAAGATAACATGTTATACTGCTTTTTTTTTTAAAGAAAGAACAGTATGACCAAAGAGAAAATCTTTTAAACACTACATTACTTGTTCAATTCAAGGAAGAGAAAAAAAAACCTTCGTGAAGTTCATAATTGCATACATTGTTTATCATTCGTAAAATTTCACTTATTCACTCAAAGAAATAAAAATCACTTAAGCTTTTAACTTTCGCTTAACATCTTAGCTGACCTTTATTAATAAGTGTTTACATAAGTATATTCATTTTCGTTCATTATAAATAAGGAGATTATCATTTTTTTTTCTTATCTTATTATATTACTAAGATCAAACATAACTAAAATGTAAAAAGCAAAAAAAAAAAAGTAGAAAGAAAACCATAGTATCAGTATCGAAGGGTAACCATCAAATTGTATAATCTTCTTCATTCTTGACTTTTTTAATGTCCTGCAGATGTGTATGCACTT